AGCTTTCCGAGGACCCCCCCAAGAGGCCAACGTCCTTCAAACACTTATGGACAATCACTGTGGTTTGCCTTCTCGCTATTTCGCCTCCCATGGGCTCTTGAGGCCTTAAGATGGCCCCAAGACGGCCCAATCTAGTCCCACGAGGGGCTCACGAGGGCCCCAAGACAGCCAGAAGAACGCCCAAGGGCGCTCCAAGAGTGGCTCAAGGGGGCCCCAAGACGGCATTCTTGAGCCTCCGAAGGGAGCGATGGGAATTAGACCCCCCCCCCATTTTTTTAGCGTAAGGGTCCAAGATTGCCCCAAGGGCCCCCTCAGGCCTCCCAAGAGAGCCCCAAGAAGGCCCCCAGACCCCAAACAAGAGCTCCAAGAGGGCCCCGCGACGCCCCAAAAGAGCCCCAAGAGGGCTCCCAGACGGCCCTAAGAGTACCTCTAGAGAGCCCCAAGAAAGAGCTCGAGGAGGGCCCCAAGAGGGCCCCAAGAGAACCCCAAGAGAGCCCCGATATGGTTCCAAATTTCGAAACGCACGCGAGCTTAAGATACACATCAGTGCAACAGCCATCACGCGTCATCGAAACACCCCTCACCCCTCATCGAAGCACCATCGTAGCTTGCACCGATTTCCATCTTAAATTGCAATGCGGGAAGCTCTTTGTGATCCATGTTTTCCCGAAGACGGCTGCGAAACTGCATGCGTCCTGTCGGGCTTGATTCACCGACTCCCTTGCTGATCGTGTTTGGATGGGCTGGTGGGGGTACGCGAGGCCTCAAGAGCTAGATCTCGCCATCCCTGAGGGGCTGCGATTTGCGAAACTGTCGCCACTTTCGAGGGCTGCTGGAGGGGAGAGCATAGTGGGCAGCCACCGCAAACCCAACTTAGATTTCGCCATCCCTGTGGGGCTGCGGTTTGCGAAACTGTCGCCATTTTCGAGGGCTGCTGGGGGGGGGCAGCATAGTGGGTAGCCGCCGCAGGCCCAAAGTAGACCTCGCCATCCCTGGGGGGGCTGCGATCTGCGAACCGTGTCGCAACGTTCGGGGGCTGCTTGGGAGGACAGCTATAATGGCTAGCCGCCGCAGACCCCTGGGGGCTGCGGTGTGCGAAGCTGTCGCCCTTTTCGAGGGCTGCTTGGGGGGGCAGCATAGTGGGTAGCCGCCGCAGACCCAAACTAGGCCTCGCCATCCATGGGGGGGCTGCGATCTGCGAAACCTGTCGCCACTTTCGAGGGCTGCTTGGGAGGCAGCGTAGTGGGTGGTAGCCGCTGCAGACCCAAATTAGACATCGCCATCCCTGGGGGGGAGGGGTTGCGACCTGCGCAATCCTCGCCACTTTCGAGTGCTGCTTGGGGGGCCAGCATCGTGGGTAGCCGCCGCAAATCCAAACTAGACCTCGCCATCCCTGGGGGGGGGGGCTGCGATCTGCGAAACCGTCGCCACGTTCGAGGGCTGCTTGGGAGGACAACCATAATGGGTAGCCGCCGAATATCCAAATTAGACCTCGTCATCCCTGGGGGGCTGCGATTTGCGGAACAGTCGTCAGTTTCGAGGGCTGCTCGCGGTGCCAGCATAGCGATCTGCGAAATTGTCACCGCTTTCAAGGGCTGCTGGTGGGTCCAGCGGAGTGAGGCACCGCGCAGATAAGAGCGAGACCTCGCCGTCCCTGGGGGGCTGCGATCTGCGAAACCGTCGCCACTTTTAAGGGCTGCTGGCGGGTCCAGTGGAATGAGGCACCGCGCAGATCTGAGCGGGACCTCGCCGTCCTTGGGGGGCTGCGATCTCCGAAACCGTCGTTACTTTCGAAGGCTGGTGGCGGGTCCAGCGGAGTGAGGCACCACGCAGATCTGAGCGGGACCTCGCAATCCCTGGTGGGTTGCGAGCCTCACGAATGCCGCTCGCAGAAGTATATGCGCCCATGTCACGTCACCACCTCCGTATAACGTCTCCCAAGCTACTCATGCCCCCCATTGCGCAGGGGTTGGGTACGTCGCCAGGGTCAATTTTTACATGGCCGAGCTCAGTCGCTCGTCCACGCAGGCCCGCGCTAAGGAGCTGGAGGCCCGTGGCGAGCCCGAATTGCGCGGGATGCCGCGGCCGCGCCGCCCTGCGCAGCGCGCGGTTGCCTTGGGAGGCGCTGGGAGGGCAGCTGCATTATTTTTTTTTTTTTTTCCGACAGGACTGGGCGACGCACATTTGGCTCAGATCGAGCGCGTCAGGTTCTCGCTCATTATTGGGGCCAGGCTCATGGTGGGGGAGTTTCCGCGCCTCCAGTGCGAGCAGCCACGCCTGTTTGCGCTTGTCTTGCCGCGCAATGCCGCCAGTTCTTGAAGAGAGCGAGTTCGAAGCGATCGTCTTGACAGCGAAGGGCGTTTGCCCTGGGCCCGACGGAGTCCCCTGCAGCGCTTTCTCTGACGCTGGTCTTGCTGCCGTCGGCGTTCGCATGTGAGCGCGCCTTGTCGTTCTTCGTGGCGGTTTTCGGGGGCAATGGGTGCAACTGCGTTCTGGGTGTTTATTTCTCGGCCAATGGTAAGCTCCCCGAAGGCCCAGAATACCGGCCCGCGCCCCGGCCCGCACTCGCCCCCTCGCCCTCGCCAACAGCGACGACGAATAAATGTCCCAGGCCATCGACAAACCCGTGTCGCACTTGGCTCAGACCCCCTGCTATCCAACGCAAAGCGATTTTATCCCTCAGCGCCAGATGACGGAGACTTTGATCCAGCTCGAGGACCGTATACCTGCACGCTGGTTTCTCAGCATGATCACCATCGGGCAGGGTTCCACCCGTTCAACTTGCAGTTTCAGCGCGATCGTTGCGGCATTTTCGCCAGTCAGCATCCCCGTCGGGATATCAAAGTCTCAGTGGTTTCTGGAGGTGTCCGAGGGATATACTGTGCGTCTTTCGGGAAATGGAGCAAGGCTGTCCGCCGTCTGGCACGCTGCGCGCATTGCCCTTCGGCCCGACCCTTAGGATGCCGGGCAACCGTATACCTCCATGTCTTGGCATTCCTGCTGCCATTGCTCGCGATCTCGGCACTGGCGCTGCGGATGCGGCAGCAGTCCTCGCGGACCGCGCGCAGACGCTGAACTTCGCGGAGCGTCTCGCGGGCTCCGCGCTCGACCCGTCCAAGTGCGTAGTGTTGGTCGCTCGCGGCTTCGATCGAGGCGAATTTGATGCCTTCTGCCTCGGCGCGGACAAGCCCTCCCAGGCGTTGATCTGGGAACGGGAGGTTTGGGGGTCGCTTAAATGGGGGGCGATAAATTGGGGGGGGGGGGGAGACAGGAGCATTTCTCGGGCCCTACAGGCCCCAATGTGGGCCCGAAAGGGCCCCTTTAGGAATCCTGAGGGGCACCTTTTCTGCTGCCCTCGCTGCCGCCCCTAGTGTACCGCCCCCCCACTGATCTTCGCCGAAGAGGTACATGTCTTGGGGCCTGGGCGGGGGTGGCGGATGGCGACGTCTTGAGCTGGAAGACTCCCGCAAGAGAGGAGCATTGTGACGTGCCCGAGAAAGCAAAGCCTTCAAATTTATCTTCTACACGATTCTCCCTCGATATAACGCCTACCGTTTTACCTGCCTGATCCACGTTGCCCCGTTGTTGTTGCGCCGCCCACGGGCGCCCTGCGGCAGGAGTACCGCGCCGTCTGAAGCTCGACGGACGGCCCGAGGAATGCGGTCTCCTGCGAATTGGCGCGCGATTTGCAGGACTGCGGCCCCAACGCGCAAGTGCGACACCTGCTTTGTACAGCGCGGGCTGCGATAGGCATGACCGCCTTTCAATCCACAGGTCGACAGGACATATCTAGCCTCATAGAGGCCATGAGCAGTTCGTATGATTGTGTAACACACAGGTGGTTCAATCCTTCGTGCCAGTACTCCAGGTTTTGCGCGCGCGATGAGTCACGGCGCTTGCAGGATCTTCCCCAGCTTCCGCAGCTTAGGCTCTGACCCATCGTCGAAAAAGATGTGCAAATCAGGTACGGAAACCATACGAGAACAAGGTGAGGCGTGAAGTTCGGGGATGGGTGGGGGAGGGGGACGTTCGAATACTCTTTCAGAGGAGAAACTCGATGCGGTGCAGTCTTTGTGACGCAATGCATGCGGCGCAAGCCATGTGGTGCAAGCCATGTGGTGCGAGCTATTGTGTGCAACCTACGTTGTGCAATACGTGTTGTTCGATCTATGCAGTTCAGCAGACGCGCTTCAAACGATCGTTGTAGTACATGCTTTGCGGTGCATGTAATGCGAGGTATGTGCTGCAATATCTGTAGGTATACATACATAAGTGTGGTGCAACCCATGTTGTGCAATCGATGCGTGGCGACTTATGTGGTGGAGTATATATGGTTTGCGACCGATGTGGTGCATGTTAATCGTTGCGATCTATGTTGTGCAACTCATGTGTTGCGATCTACGTGGTGCAACTTATGTGGTGCACATTCATGCCTGGACGACGGGAGGCGACGAGGTGGCGACGGGGCGGTGAAGAGGTGGCGACGGCGACAACATAGCCGCCAGACCGACAATCAGGCCCAGACGACTGGCGGCGACGAGGCGGGGACGGTGCGGCGATGGCGATTATATAGCCGTCGGCCCAACCCTCAAGGCCAGACGATGGGCGGCGACGGGGCGGCGACGGCGACTACGTAGTCGCCAGACCGACCTTCAGGGCCCGTTCCCTAGAACACAAGTGAGAGCCCCTAAGTGCAAGCATTGTTTTGAGAATCAAAGCCCCTAAGGGCAAGCAGTGTCTGCGAAATCCTCGAACCTCGAATTGCCCTCCCCGCGTTGTGCCCAGGATTTTGGGCATCGCCTTCTCGTCGATACCTTCGAAGTCCGACCTGTTGAACCTCCGTGCCTCTGAAGACACCTCCAGCCGTCGTCCCAGGCCTGCCACATGGGGTTCGCATCGGTGGGGTCGGACCCCATCTGGACGGCCTTTACTCGAACCTCGCGCGTCTCGACGCCCGGGCCCTGCGGCCTCCGCTCACCGCGCTGCGCCCCGGGGCCGAGGCTTCAACTCCCTCGGCATCACCCACTCGTCCATGTGGGCCCCCGCGCGGCTGCGCCCCGCCCCGCGCCCGCGCGGGGGGGGGGCGGGATGGATAGCAGCCACGGCCCGCGGGCCTCCAGGATGGAGGATGATCGAGGAGGATGAGGAGGGGGAGGGGGACCGAGGGGGAGGAGGAGTCGATCGAGGAGGAGGGTCGAGGATGAGCAGGGTCGAGCAGAGTACGTGGAGGGAGGGCGTGGAGTGAGCAGGAGGAGCAAGTTGATCTGAGGATGATGCATCAACGATGCCGCGACAAGTCCCAAGGTCCTCTTCTCAAAGGTCCCTGCCACTTCACTACTTCAGCGCCCCCTCAAAAGAGGAGGGCCGTATGGGACTGCCATTTCGGCGATGGCCCCATTCTATAGCTGAAAGGACGTTCGGGCATTGACAGGAGGAACAGGTACGAATTAGCACAGCATCGACGATGCTCCTAGAGAGCATCTGCTGGCCGAAGCTGGCAGAACCAATGGGAACAGCTTGTTACAAAAGACACTCATGGAGATGACGACAGACAGTACTTCAAGATCAGTGATATCCAGTCGACACCGCGTCACCACCTCAAGGATCTGTACGACAATATGACCGACGTGTCCGAGGTCATATGCATTGACATTGAAGGCCTCTGTGTGGTTACCATCGATGACCGTCCCGAAGGGCCACATTATTGGCAATGACCACCGCAGCCTTTGCGAGATGGCTACTGGCACGCTACCCAGAACGATCCATGCGACGTGGCAGCGCGGTTCAATCATTTTGATGCCGTGGGACTCGGAGAAGGTCGATATCGTCGCGCTCGAGACTGACACAGGCCCTCCTACTATCGATGGGCGCCAAGGCGATCGCTGCCAAGTTGCTGCCAACAGTATACTTGAAAGCAGGCCAGAATACCCACATGAAAGTCTACTACATGAGCTCAGCGAGTACGACTTGGCAGACGAAGCCGACTTCCATTACAAGCCTTTCTTCCATGTGACGGTAAGTACTTCGCGAACTGTTTTGCCTGCTAGGTCAACCCTATTACACAGGACGATTGCAAAACCAACGCCGTCTAATCCCCAGCGGGTGCGCACAGCGAGCGCACCCTGCAGGCGATCCAGCACGGACGCGCCAAGCGTGCGCGTGACAGTGCCCAGGAGGACGAATCCTACAAAGTACGGCGCACTATTTCCAAAACATGCGTTGCAATTTCGTTGATGACGCCGTGCTCTACTACCGACTGCCTATGATGCATCATGTCTGCAGCGCTGCGGACAAGGTACGCCGTGCACAACGCCACGCGCAGTGTACGCCGTCTTCGGTGGTTCACTCCACATCCCACGAGCGCCCTGGCCGCTCCTCATCCCACTCCTCCATCGGTGGGACTCAGGTTGGTTTGGCAGGAGTGTGTGGACGGCCCTCCTCCCCTACACTCGCCGGAAAGGGCAGGTCCCGCGCCGGCCCCGGCGGCGGGCTCTTTGCCGGGTGCTGCGCGGCGACCTCGAGGGGGCGCACGAGAGCGCTGCGCGAGGGAGAAGAGGACGGGGGGGCGGGGAGGGGGCCGAGGAGGAAGGAGAGGGGGGCATTATGATGCGTGCTCTGGGGATGGAGAGCTTCCGAAAAGGCTTTCGCCGCCACTGCTGACTCAGCCTCGAACTCCTCGTCGGGACAAGCTCCGAGACGGGCCCCACCGTTTGCTTGCTCCCTCTGACCTGGGGGCCGCGAACAGAATTCACGACGGGCGCGTTTGGCCAGATTTTCGGGTGCCGAGTTCTCCTGCCCCGCTTATTTTCGCGACGATTTGATTTTTGCCGCGGCTGCTGATTTTCAGGTAATCCTCGCGCCCCAGGTCCACCTCGCCCACCTTGACCGCCTCCCGTGCTTCGTGGGTCCCAAGCACAAGCTGTTTCAATGCTATGCTTCAGTGACCTTTTGTTGTTTCAGGCGCACTTTTTTTGTCTGGTTCGTCATTAACTGTCGTCGGGTATCGGCGTCCACAACCTCCGTATCCCGCTCGCCGCCTTTTCGTCCATATTCGAATAAGGAGACCAGTTGCACAAGCATGCGCTTTCGCGCTTTCGGAGTTCCCGGCGGACCTCTTGGGACGGTGGTGTGCCTTCTGGCGGCGCCTCTGGCGCCGCCCCTGGCGGCGCAGGGGGGAGTGCACCGCCGATCCAAGGCATCCGCACGGAACTTTTTTTATCTTCCAGGTGCCCCTCCCTTGGCGGGGCACGTCGCCTGTCGACGTCACCGGTCCTGGACAGGCCGATCCTGGGCTCAGGACCGAAGAGCGCGTCCTCCTGGCTTGGCCGGGGAGGCACGCAGGCACGCACCGATCCTGGGCCCAGAATCGGCCCGGCCATGGATCGCTGCGACGGAGAGTGGACGTCTCTCGATCCTTCCTGCTGCACCTCCCTAAAACAGGGCAGAGCGTTCCGGAGCGCTCTCAGAGCGTTCCGGAACGCTCTGGAGCGGCCGCGGCGCCCAATACATCCTCCAAACCCGCCGATTCTCAGAGATTTCGAGTTATCCCGATCCGATTTTGTCCCGATCTTCGCGTCGTTTTACTCCCTCGCCTCGTCCTTCTCGGCCCCCCTTGACCTCCACGGTTCACCTCCCGTCTACGTCGAAGTCGCCCCTCCTGGGCTTCTCCAGAGGTGAACAGTGACAAGAGTCCCAGACATGCGACGATGTGTTTGTGCCAATCCGCAGCCCCAGCGGTCTGGACCGCTCCCCTGGGCCAGGGGGTAGTTCTGCCCCAGATGCGTGTTGGTGGTCCTGGTGCCCGAGAGAGGCCCCCAGAGCCCGAAGTGTCAGGAGAATGAGAATTCGCCTGGCGAGTGGCCGAGCCGTGCGCAGCTGAGAGCAGCGCAAGTGGCGTCCTGAGGCCTTCGGTGGAGTTCCCCTATGGGGCCACGAGACGTGTGAGCGGTGTGCCGACCTCGGCGGGGCGGCTCCATGCGAGCCCTACCACTGGGGCCGTCGGTGGAACGTTCCCTTCGGGGCCACCAACCAATCGTATGATGGGTGTGAGCGAGTGAGTGAGTGAGTGAATGGGAGGGAGGGGGAGCGAGTGAGTGAGCGAGTAGAGGGCGGCATGGAGCAAACGTTGGGCGGGTCGTGCCGTGGCGACGAGGAGCCTCCTAGAGGCAGCAAAAACAGTTGCAGACGTCGCCCGCCCCCACTTCATGGGGGAACGATACGAGGGGGTAGGCGCAGTGGGGGAGCATCGACCCTCCATAGCCCATTGATCGCCGATAGGGGTCAGATGGCCCCGCCCCGCCCAGGAAGGTGTGGACGTGCCACTGGCGGCCTATCGCCGATCTAGTGGCGATGCATCGCCGATTGACGGCCGATGTTCTCCCCCCCCCTTCTGCCAGTGCCCCCTATCGTTGCCTCGCACCCCTTTCCCAACCCTGCCTGCCCAAGGTGGTCGGGAATGTCGCGTTCGGGCGCCTCCTCAGCATCCTCCGCTGTGGAGGAGGACCTGCTGCCAGTGCCCCCTATCGCCTCGACCCTGCCTGCCCCGGGAAGCGTTCGGGCGCCTCCTCAGCATCCTCCGCTGTGGAGGAGGACCTGCTGACGCACCGGAGGCGCCCCAGCCGCCCAGCCGCGTGAGCACGGCGGGCCCGCTCTCCTCTCCGCGTCTCCCTCCCCTCCGGAGGTTCCGCCCCTCCTCCGCTTGCTCCTCTTCCTCCTGGTCCTCCTCTTCTTCTCCTCCTCCTCCTTCCCCCTCCTCCTCCCTCCTCCTCCTCCTCCTCCTCCTCCTCCTCTCCTTTCCTCCTCCTCCTCTCCTCCTCGTCCTCCTCTTCCTCCTGCTCCTCTTCCCCGTCCTCCTCCTCCTCCTCCCCTCCTCCTCCTCCTCCTCCTCCTCCTCCTCCTCCTCCTCTCCTCTTCCTCCTCTTCCTCGTTCCTCTTCCTCCGCTCCTCTTCCCTCCCCCTCCTCCTCCTCCTCCTCCTCCTCCTCCTCCTCCTCCTCCTCCTCCGCCTCCTCCTCCTGCTCCCCCTCCTGCTCCTCCTCCTGCTCCTCCCCCTCCTCCGTAAAGTACCCTGAATCACACGCGTTGTCACGGTAGTTGTACTCACAGAAAGTTGCGTGCCGTCGCCGTTGGCCGCCTCCGCGCCCTGGCAGAAGCGTCGGCCACGCTTCGCGTGACGCGTTCTGCAACAACGCGCTGGGGGGACTGGCCGTGGCTGCTGCTGCTGACGGGACGGGCGGATGACGGAGTGGCGCCTCCTCCGCCTCCGCGCGGTCCCTGCTCTGAAGGCTGAGCGCGCTGCGACGGCGGCGCACGACGGGCGCCTTCGCGTGCGGGCGCAGGCGATCCTCCATGCCTCCTTCCTCGGCTCCTCCTCCCCCAAGCGTCTCATCAGTAGGATGGCCTCCCGTCTGCACCGCTGGTTTGGGGCCCGGGCTGCTGATGCGGAGGCGATCGACTGGGCAGCTGTTGCCTCGGTGATCATCGCGTCCCCCCGTCCTGGCGCAGTGTTTGTATTGAAACCTGGGGGGGAGGGTGGATCACAGAGTCCAGAAATGCGCACTCCAGGTAGGGAATGCGTTTCGGGATGTCCTGGCTCGCGGCTTGCCGCTTGTCCTCGCAGACAGGCACCATCTATACGTATCCTGCTGCTGCCGTGAAGCTGCGTGGCGGCTCCCAGTATCCCAGGGAGAGCACGTGGGCTGGTCTCCAGGTGCTGGGTGGTGGCGGTGCCACCCGCCTTTGTGACAAGCTATCCAAGGTCAAAGCCCATCACAAACTCTTTCGGAGCTGACGGTCGGCAGTGAAGAGTATCGCATCACTAGCGGCCGCGATGCCGCTGACAGAATCGCAAAGGCAGCATCGAGCCTCGGTGCTGCCTTTGCGATTTCGCTAACCATCACGAAGTCGAGCAGTATTTCAGCGACGCTGCTCTGCTGAAGAAGTATTTCAGATACGTAGCCAGTGCCCAGGGACAGTGGCCGGCCATCGCGCCCAGACGCAACCAGGCTCTGGCTAAACCTGCGAAGAGCCTGTCCTCCCTCTCGGGCGCCTCCTGTGCCCTGGCCTCCTGGGACCTTGCTGGCCCTTCCTCGGTCCCTGGCCGGGTGCCTCCTCCTCCTCCCCCATCCCCTTGCGGGCACTCCTGAGCCCCGCAGGGCCCTTGCGCGGACGAAGGTGCGAGGCCAACGCCGATGCACCACATGTCGCACCAGAGTTCGTTCGTTCAAGCAGTGGAAAGGTCGGGCGGATGAATTGGACTGTCCAGGTCACTGCTTTGCCCGATCGAGTCTAGTTGGTGACCCGCTTGGCCATGACCTGTTCCACTACGAGCCAGCAAGCTTTCTTGTGTGCCACCGATCTGGTTCGTTCAAGGAGAGTGGCTCCCGTGGACTGCAAGGACAGTGAGTGCAAGACGAAGCCGCCTCACCATGGAGCCAACTTGCACTTGCAGAAAGCACGGTCGGGCCGTCACCCCAAGAGTGACGCCAATGGCCCAAATCGTGCTCTGTCTGCCACCTGTCCCGTTGGCCCAGCTAGCGAGCGACACTCGCAGCGGGCAGGGCGGCCAGGAGTATTCGTCGGGTAGTACGGATTAATTCATCCACCCACGCACTGGTCCTCCTCCTTCTCCTCCTCATTCTCCTCCCCCTTCTCCTCCTTCTCCTCGTTCTCCTCCTCCTCCTCTTCCTCCTCCTCCTCCGCTTCCCCCTCCTCCTCCTCCTCCTCCTCCTCCTCCTCCTCCTCCTCCTCCTCCTCTTCCCACTCCTCCTCCTCCCACTCCTCCTTCTCCTCCTCCTCCTCCCTTTATTCCTCTTGCTCTTCCCCCTCCTCCTCCTCCTCCTGCTCCTCCTCCTCCTCCTCCTGGGGCCAGGCGAGGGCTCTCAGAGGCCGAAAGCAGCGAAAACCATCGCGGCCGAGCTACCGCTCTCTTCGTCGTTTGGTTCCTTCCTGCTCTCTCCTCTCTCCTACTCTCCTATACGCTTGTCGCCTCTTGTGAGGGGATTGTGCCCTGTCACAGCCTGTCGCTGGCGTCCAGGTGAACTGTCGCCCTCCACCAAGTCACCTAGAAAAGTATCCCGCGTGGGCTCACTCTCAAGGTGCTTCGTTCAGCGTCCATGTCCATGCGTGATTCAACACGCAGGCCTTTCCGCCTAGATGTCATCAAAACGCTGGATACGTACCTAGGAGGAGGAGGAGGGGGAGGAGGAGGAGGAGGAGGAGGAGGAGGAGGAGGAGCAGGAGGAGGAGGAGGATGAGGAGGAGGAGGAGGCTGAGTAGGAGGAGGAGGAGAATGAGGGGGAGGGGGATGAAGACGATGTCAAAGGAGGAGGAGTTGGTCCTCTGCCTCCCTCACCGAAATATGATCGACTTTCTTTCCCTGGGCACACAAGTCGGAATGTTGCCACCGCACACCCCTTCAGGGCGGGCACGATTGTGCCGCGCCTGAGCAGACAGTTGCGCGGCGCGCGGGCGCCGAGGGGAGGAGGGAACCAACTGGAGAGTCAGGGAGGCACCAGCAGGAGGCGGAGGAGGTCGGAGGACGAAGGACGGATGCGGAGGAGGAGGACGGAGGAGGAGGAGGAGGAGGAGGAGGAGGAGGAGGAGGAGGAGGAGGAGGAGGAGGAGGGAGCAGGAAGAGCGGCCTTCCGCCCTCGCGTGTTCGGCCTCCGCGAGGCCATCCGCGGGGCTGAACCCCCCCTTACGGAATGCCTAGGGCTCTCGAGTAGAGTTGCACAGTGTCGAGGATCGGAGAGCTGCACGTGGCGCGAACTGGGTCGTGAGTACGGGAGCAGGAGGAGGAGGAGGAGGAGGAGGAAGAAGATGAGGAGGAGAAGGAGGAGGAGCAGGAGGAGGAGCAGGAGGAGGAGGAGGAGGAGGAGGAGGAGGAGGAGGAGGAGGAGGGGGAGCATGAGGAGGAGGAGCAGGAGGCGGAGGAGGATGCGGAGGAGGAAGAGGAGGAGGAGGAGGAGGAGGAGGAGAGCAGGGAGGGCCCCCGAGGGACCCTCCGTGGCCCCCCCCCGGGGCCGCTTCGCCCACGGCAGCCCCGGCCGGCGGCCTGGCGTGTAGGCCGCTGCTTGAGGGCTACGCCTCGGCGCTGCGGCCGCTCTTCATGACCAGGCCGCGGCAGCCCGGGCCGCACCGCGGGGGCTCGGGCTCTTGCGCTGGGAGGGTGCGGGGGCATCGATAGTCGGGGGTTGAGGGTTCGGGGGCAACAGTGAAGGGGGGGATCTGCTCAGGGGGGGTCGAGGTTTGAGGTTTTCGGGGCAACGCTAGGGGGGGATGGGCTCAGGGTGCTAATTTTGAAGATCTGGCCCCACAGCTGCTTGCAACTCACTCATCTGTGCGGCCGCATTCGCGCTAAGTGCGCGGTCAAGCTGTACTTACGCAGCCCCGTTATAACATACCATGCTAATCCAAATCATATATATGTGTACACATATATTCCCGAGCTTGCTTAAGATCACGTGCAACGTTGCACGATTTCCAACGCTTCCGCTAGTCTTTCGCACATGAGGCGCGTATACTTGAATTGTCTTCGCCACAAACTTACGAAATCATATAATCAAATATGACAACGTATGAGATCTTAGGAGTTTACATGGCAACCGATGTTCGACTAGGTTGCGAATTCGACATGGGTATAGCACTTTCCTTCCCCCCCGCCCCCCCTTACCCCCTTATCATCTTTGTCCTGTGCGGGCCAGTCCTCTCCCTCAGATCCTCCTCCTCCTCCTCATCCGTCTCCTCGTCCTTCCCCTTCTCCTCATCTTTCCCCGCCGCCGTTCCCCCTCGCCTTCCTTCATCGTTCCCCCTCAGCCGCTTCCACCCCCCGCGCTTTCCTTCTGCGCCCCGAACGTCCCAATATACAATTACCCCTCTAGGGTCGTCGCTTCGAAACGCAGAGGAAGAGGCGGAGGAACACCTTTGGCTCGGGAGGGGCTGCGATTCCTTGTGCCAATTTCTGGAGACCCGGAGAACGGAGGAGGACGAAGATGGGGACGGATGATCAGGAAGAGGAGGAGGAGGAGGAGGAGGAGGAGGAGGAGGAGGAGGAGGGGGACGATGATCCAGGTGGACGAGGAGGAATGAGGTTTGGACACCTGTGGGGCGCCAGAGGCCTGCAGGGATGACCTCCCGAGACCTCCAGGAGCCTTCGGTGTGGTGCCCTCTCTTCGGATCTGGCTCTTCAACTCTTGCGGCAGGCCACCGGCCATGTGGGGGCCCCGGACGCCTCTCCTCTGGAGTGCGTTGTCGTAGAATCGTGTTGGTGCCGCGCAACCAGTTTGAAGTTTGTGCTAGAAGAGGCCTTGGTTTGCCAACCTGGGCCTCTTGGGGGCTGCTTGGACGCTATTCGGCAATTGTCACGCGTCTTGGGATCCTTTGGGTTCTCTGTACGGCCGCCTTGGGACGCTCCTAGGGCAATCTTGTGCAGAAAGAGAAATACTGAACATCATTTGGTTTTCATGCAGTTGTCGCTTCTCGGGGACACTCTTGGGGAGCTTCCTCGTCACATTGGGGCCCTATGCGGGCCTCTGAAGGCCATGTTCAAGCATGTTGATCAGCTTGCACGATCTTGATGGCAATCTGGGGACTGCTTGGATGGCTCGGCACGCCCGAACCGTTACAGCACGGGCACCGCTCTACCTCCATCACCCGCCCCTCCACATTGGCCGGACCGAGCTCTTGGGGTAGGCTTTGAGAGGGGCCATATCACACATGCGGGGGGTCGCCAAATTCCTGTGATTGTTTGTTGTTGTTTGCCCCCGGATATTCAGCATCGCCTCGTTCGAGAGTTTTCCAGGGAATCGGGCGTCGGGGGCCCGATGGGACTCTGGAGTCGTCCCAACATAGCTATGAGTCCAAAGCTAGCTGGAGGGAGGAGGAGCTTCAGAGACTGGCGTGCGACAAGCACGATGGACATTTCGGCCGCGTGTCGGCCCCCAGGACCTCCAAGTAGTCCCGCACGCAGGTGGGCTTGAAAGCTTCGGTCGTCATTTGCTTCGCGACGTCGTGTTTTTTTCTTGTCACGACCTCAGATCTCGGGGTTGCGAGGGAGGACGGTGTTCAGCCAGGCCTGGCGCACATTGGATTGAGCGTGTAGGGGTGCGCGACAGGATGGTCTCGCTGCTAGGGGCGCGCAAAAAGTCATCGTTCCCCTCGCTCCACCTAACCCGCTTTTACTCCCATCGGACGTCGTTGTCAGCCTCGCCGTTGCCGTCCGCCTCCGCTTGCTCGCCCTCTTCCTCGTTGTCGTCGTCGTCTTTGTCTCCTCCTCGTACTTGACCTCCTCCTCCTCCTCCTCCTTCTCCTCCTCATGTTCCTTCTCCTCCTCCTCCTCCTCCTCCTCCATCTCCTCCTCCTCCTCCTCCTCCTCCTCCTCCTCCCCCTTGTGGCTCGGATCGCCGCTTCCCCCCTCCACGCGTGCCTGCGCCCGTGCCCCGATCGCCAGTCCTTGTCGCCCTTCTGCTCAACCTGGGGGCGCGCTGCTCTTGCTCCGACGCGCGGCCTCTCTGCCCTTGAGGGGGGCGCCGCGGCCACGAGGGCAAACGCCGCCTTTGGCGCGGTGGGCCTGCCCGCGGGGTTTGCCGCAGTGCCGGCGCCGCCCACCCGGGCGCGGGGCGCAGGGCTTGTGGGTCTGCCGTGGTGTCGGCGTCGGCCCACTTGGGCGCGTTGAAAAACAAACGGCGCGGCGACACAGATCCTCCCGCATGCAGTCCACCACCGCAGCAAGTGCTTGCGGCCCTCCAGGGTTACTCTTGCGTCCCTGCACCTGCGGCCCATCCCTGGCAAATCTCGCGCTCGAGAGACGTCGACATCGCTTTCCGAGGCCGTTGCAGTCCTACCGCGCATCCGAGGAGGAGGAGGAGGAGGAGGAGGAGGAGGAGAGGAGGAGGAGGAGGAGGAGGAGGAGGAGGAGGAGTTGGAGGAGGAAAAGGACGGGCGGTGGAGGAGGAGGAGGCGGAGGAGCAGGAGAAGGAAGGAGCTGCTGCAGTCGACGCGCCCAGCAAGGACGCTCCGACCAACCGTCGCTCCTTCCCCCCCCTTCCGGCCCGGTGCCCTCCTCGCTGCGCCCGGCGCCAGGGGCGATCTGACGCACCTGCTGGCGAAGTTCCCGAGTCCCATTCGCAGCGCTTCGCGGCCGGTGGACCCAGAGGGCGGGAGCGAAGGAGGAGCGACGAGGGGGAGCAGGAGGAGGGAAAGGAGAGGAGGGAGGAGGAGGAGGATTTTTTGACATCAACATCAAGGATGGGTGCCCGCCCAGACAATTAGGGCAGGCAGGCTGGCCAGTGCCAGCAAAAGAGAGCTAACACCTGAATACAGAGGAAAGGCAGGAGGCCACATAGACATCTCCAGCTGGCTGGAGGATCCCCCGTGGCCAGCTGCTTCTCCCCCAGGCGTTAGTCAGAACTAGAGTCGCCCTCGTCACGATGCGGCAGCTTCGAAACGAGGGGGGCCTCGTCTTCTTCCTCCCGAGGAGTGGACGAGACACCTTGCGACACGAGGCCTGTGGCCTGAGACTGAAACGGCGAGTCCCGAGGCGGACCGCTCGCCGCTGCCAGTAGACGCCGTGCGATCGCAGCACGGCGTCTCTTTCGTGCTTCCTCCTCCTCCGAGGCCGAAGTGGGGGGAGGCTCAGACGAAGGGGCGGGGACCTCCTCCTCCTCCACGTCTGGGACAAAACCAAAAGAGTGTCTGCCCCAGGGGCCGCGTTCCACCGTGACCTCTGGGCGCTTAGGGTGGCGTCCTCTGCGGATCAGCCCCCAGTTGTTGTAAAAAGTTGACCTGGTCGGTCCAAGGCACCTGCCTCCCAGTCCTGCAACTCTGCCATGAGACGAGTAGCAGAAACACTTCGTGCAGATTACCAGCGATGCTTGGTCAGAGCAAGACAACGTGATGCAAGAGTGGCCCCTTTTTCCCAGCACACCAGACTCGAGACCCGCGATCGGCTTACAACGAGGAGCGCTCGGGGACGGGCCGTAGGTGGATGCTCGACTAACTCTGCCACAAGTCGTGCATTTCCAGAAGCCTGGGGATGCCGCCAACTGCGCAACCTGAATAATCGTCCACTGGCATCTAGCAGACGTCGAATTCACAGAAAATGAGACCGACGGCTTAGTTCAGGAAACTTCGCTGAGGTCGAGGCGTGGCCAACTAGGAAGCACTTCCGCGGCTAGCTGACACACAGCACGGGACATTTTGATATCGGGATCCAGTCTAGCAGTGTTCTCCGCAGACTGCTGCGGGTGACCAAGGTAGCTTTCACCGCCAGACGCCTTTTTGGCTCCGACATCCGCAAAATGGTTACCAAAACGGCACATCTTATCGAATTCAGAGGTCCATTCATCGAGTGATTGATGCGCCTTGACTTTGTGGAGAGCCTTTGCCTTCCACATTTCGTGCAACAGAGACAACGCGAAACCACTATAGCAGCGTTTCGGTGACAGCTGGTCCAAGGGTTGCAGAGAACAATGATCCTTGACCAGCTGCGCATCAGTATAAAACTCCGACGGAGCACTGGCGAAAAAGACGGCTTGGCAGAAGGCGGCAAATTCACCTGCAGGAGCTGACTGCGGGCATGTCGGCGGAACAGGACCATGCATCATGGCACGCAAGTCGCCAGACTGGTCAACAACGGCGATGCACCATCCAGCGCGCGAAAGCTCGCGCACCACATGCCTTAGGGCGCTCCCGTCAGTGAAGACATGCCCGCTGAAATCGAAACTCTGGGGGTCCTGGGGGAGCCCTTCAGGAGCAAAGAAGGTGGCTGAGGGCTCTACCGAGGGCTTGGGACAAATAATCCCCAGGATGCGCAAAGGCCCCGAAACAAGACAGCACGCAACCAGTCTCCCGCAAGGCTCTCTGGATGACTTCTGGCTCCACAAGGCCCTCCCGAAGCTCCTGGGCGTCTGGGCAACTGCAGACCCAGAGGCGGTGGTGGAGGGTGTCAGGGGCGGTTCCGCACTTGTCGCGCGCCACGCTGACATCGTACCCGAGGTCCCTGGCTTTTCGACGAGTCCACGCAGCATTGGTGGCAGCAGCCCTGATGCAGCCCTTCTCGAAGGCCGAGAACCTTTTGCTACGTGGAGAATGTTTGACCACGTCGAAGCAGAGACGATGTGGAAAACCCCACTTAGCCCCAGCGTCCCGCCCCAATCCACGAAACACAGCAGCCCGAAGGTGGAGGCGCATAAGCTGGGGAGAGGTGAGGGCCAGGGAGAGGATCACCCCTTGGTCCGTTACAAAGGTGGCGAAGTCCCTCATCGTCCAGGAGATCCTCTCCAAGGACATGCGCATGGCGGCGACGGGGCCTCCGACTGCACGCCGCGAACATGATTCATTTAGGAAAACACTTTCCCAAGCCCGCCTCAGCTCCCTGAAACTGAGCGAGCCTTCAAAGGCCCGATCTTGGGCGCACCAAACCTGCTTGCGCCAGCGTAAAATCGGGGCAACAGAACCGATCCAAGCGGGGTCCCCTTCCAAATGAGACAAGACCGTCAGGGAGCGTTGGCCAGCTAAGGGTTTGATGGTGCTCGCCGCCGAGCGGCGCAGGTGGAGGAGCTCGTGGTCCGTGGCCCCGCGCACCTCGCTGCCGTAGAGCACGCCTGGGGGAGGTCCTGCCGTGAGGACCCCCAGGGTGAGTCGAGATCCTAGGGCAGAGCGAAGTTTGGCAACACTGCGGGTACGTTTCTTAAAGAGCCGAAGTCTAGACTTGAGTTTCACTCCCCTCCCCTTGGTCCTCAAGCTCTCCCCCCCCCCGTGTCATCAATGCCCAAATTGACGGAACTGTCCGCGATGGGACCCGTAAACTCCGCTCCGAGAGCAGCCTGAATGGGACGGCCCACGGCCGCCGAAGAACAGACAAGGCTAGATTTATCCTGCGCCACCTTCCCCCCTATGCCATCGACAATGGCCTCATGAAGCTGCGGGGCCCCCTCAACAATAGAACGAACCACGTCATTGAAGGCACCTACAGCAGACAACCCCGAGTCGTCAATGTACAGGGCCAGGTCGCAACGGGGGCGGAGAACAATCCTATCCAGGGCTTCGATGCTACTCACCCTGATGAGGATAGTGGCAAGGGAAAACCCCGCCACAATCCCCGATGAGACGAACCACGGACCATCCAGACACCCGCCGAGGGAAAGGAAACGAGGGGCCCGATAGGCCTTGATGGCCAGTCTGGCCATGGCGACAGGGAAGTCCAACCTTTCGCACCGCGCAAGCAAACGATCCAGATCGATCAACTCATCGTATTTACACATGTCCCAGAGGAGAGTGGCCGCATGTTCCTTCCTGGAGACGCCACTTTCGCTCTTGACACATTGGCGCCACGCAACATCGGCGGCCCCTTGAAACTTACCAGCGGCAAAGTAGGGCCGAGCGTGCTCCCCTTCCCACTTTTCCGCCAAACCCCTTCTCGCTTTCCCCCGCAGGCGATGCGGGCTCATGAAAATGCCGATGGGCCTGAAACCTCCCGTCGGTTTGCCCAGCAGGGCCAAAACGGTGGCGTCCAGCCGGGCAGGCAACATGCTCGATATTTCCATAACCTGGAGGATCCTACACAAAGCCGAAATCCCTGGGGCCGAAATCAAACTGAAGTGTCTCATCTGGAAACCATCGATCCCGACCGCCGAGCTCGCCTTGCACGTACGAGACAGACGTATGAGCTCATGGGGATCGAGAGGAGGGAGGTCGGGAGCAGGTTGGAAATCCTTAACCTGCCCAGTCGAGTGAAGCGACGGAGTAGCTCTCCACAAAACAGTGAACTTGCTCCTCTCCGCGGCGAGCAAGGAGAGCGGGTCGCTGACCACGCAACCGTGAGCTGACAGAGTCGACGTCGGCTTCCACGGCTGGGGCTCAGCAGTGACCGCGTGCGCACGCTTAGCTCCCTGGTCAATATTCTCCCGAAGCCAACTGCGCCAGGAAGCTAAGCTGCTGGTCCTAGCTGACGCCTCGGCTGTGGCAACCTCTCCTGAGACCTGCGCCGCCAGGAAACTGGCATGGTCGGCGCTGTCCTTGAAACTGCTAACAGTAAGACCTGAGACCAGGGACTGCAGGGTGTCAAGGTAGTGGCGGTTGTTCCCTAAGTGGTCCAAAACAAACTGGGGGGAGAAGAGACAATACGTTTGAGGGCAATCAAGTTGGGAGGGGAATGATCGTCAGAACAGGCACCCTGAGAGCCAATGAAAACCCTGCAGTCCAGGGCCCGATTGTAAACCCAACGCGCGGCGTAGAGAGCAGCGTGGCGAGGTTCGTCCTTGTCTCGGCCAAAGACGCGTTGCCACACAAGCTGAGGAGCCTTGCCCCTAGCACCCCAGAACGGCAGAGAGACCTGCGTGGCCTCGGCCACTTCACATTCGGCCATGTTGGCCCAGAGCTTGTAAGCTATGTCCAGCCTGCGTTGAGTTTCAGCCCCTTCTCCCGATCGAGCGACCTCCACCGTGTCCTCCAAGAAGCCAAGAACCGAACCCCAGGAAGGGGGTTCACGGATGGGCCCAATCGCGTGCTGTTTGGGAAGAGGAGGGAGCTTACGAAATTCCAAAACTTGCATATGGGCAGGGTTGGGAAACAGCTCCAAATCCACAGGGCTGTGTGGGGACAGGGGGGCATTGTTATTGACAGTCACCTGTTTGACGACCTTGCTGATGCCCGACGAGACGACGAAGTAATCAAACACTTTGGGACCTCCTTGACTCCGAAGGGTGTAGCAGGCGTCGGTGGGGGTGATGAGCTGGCCCTTAAACTCTTGCACAAACTTGCTGCGGCAAATGCCCCCCAGGGGTCATGTTGAAGTCCCCGCCTACAATGACGGGAAGGTCCGTGTGGGAAATGATGGCGCCCACCTGCGAGAGCAGCTCGGTATTGCGCTCGGAGAGACCCTCAACGTCGTGCAGGTAGACAGACGCCACAATAATGCGAAGCCCACCTGGAACGACCACGACTGCTGCGCCTGCACGGCGCGGGGCGATGATGAAACCCGAGGAGAGAGTGTGCATGCCCAGGTAGGAGCGGACGAGCACAGCGATGCCACCCGACGTGCCCCCACCAGGCCCAGGTGCTGCAGGGGCCCAACAGGGTTTCCATCCTCGCCGAAAGAGCCACTGAGAGGCCGAAGCAATGTCCTCATCCTCGGCGAGGTGATGCTCCTGAGCCAAAAGCACGTGCGCAGTGACTCTGCTCAGCCACTTATGCTTCAAAGAGAGCCAGCCTGTAACATTGCAAGTCTGGACTACAAGAGAGAGATCCTGCGCTGGCGGGCCAGGCGGGGGGTGCACACCTGCACCCTCAGAACTGAAGAACAACTCCTGGCTTAAAAGGGGGGGCTCCCCGTCGAGCGATGCAGCGAGGGCGCCGCGCCCTGCTGCTGGTCAGGAAGGAGGCTCGTGGCGTGCAGCGGCGCCGTCGGCAGGGGCTGGGGCCAGAGGGGTGCCAGGAGCACGAGCTCCGCCACACGCTGCAGGCGGCGCCCCAGCTCCTGGAGCGGCTGCCGCTGCCCCCCCCCCCCGCCCCCGACTTGATGCGCTTGGTTGCGGATTGGAGGTAGTCCGCGACCCTCTTCCTGGCTTCCTCGGAAATCTCCTCTCCGCGAATGAAAGCCTGGAAAGCTGACTCGTCCTCAGGTGAGGCCTGAGGCATCTCAACGTCTGCAGACTCCGACTCCCCGCCCTCCCCACCCCCGCCAAAATTAGCAGTAGCAGGCTCAGCGGGAACAGGCGCGGCAAAGGTCTCACAGGCTGGCTTGAGGTTGGCCCAGGCCTCACGAATGGATCCCAGGTCGCCTCCCTCGAGCACGTCGTTGAAGGCCGCCAGCTGGTCGGACAGGTCCTCGGCAGGGTCATCAGCGGCGAGAAGACGGACTTTGGCTGCAAGATCCTTGTACCGAGCACGGATCTGAACGTGCTGCACCTCCGCCTCTGCCTTCTGCTCCTGCAGCCTGGCAAACTTGTCCTGGCACTCGGAAATCTGCTTGTCCAACGACGCCACGAACTTCTCATGTTTGGTAAGTGAGTCCTGCACATCGCGATGCTGCTGCAGAAGAGGTAGCGAGTCCTTGACCGACTCGGCTGAGGACTTGACACACGGAACCGCCTTCTGAATATTTGCAGCAAGGGCATCGCGCTCTGGGAATTCTCCCTTGAACTGTTCCATGAGAAGAGCCATCTGGGCAAGCATGACTGCGGGAGTGCGGGGTGGTGCGAGAGCTCCTCCTTTGCCTCCATCGCTCCCACCCTTACCTCCACCCTTCTTGCCCTTGAACCCCTTCTTGTCCCCTCCGTCGGCCTTGGGCGGACCGAATTGCCACTGACCAGAAGGCTGACGAGCAACATTAGGGTCAACAGGAGCAACATGCCGAATGGGAGACCAACAGTTCGCACACCATTTATACCACGGCTTGTTGCACTTGATCGCGCCACGCGCCGAACACTTAGCCCCTCCATCGCCTGGGGCCATATGACAGCAAGAACGTGAAAGAGGAGAAACCCTGGCGGTGGGGCGCTACCGCCAGGGAGAAGATTTGTCGGACTGAACAGTCCTAGCTCTGCCGCGGACTAGCGGTATCCGTGAAAGCCTACTATGCGGGCTCAGCCCGCCAAAGCAAAAAACTTGAGCCAACATGGCTACGGAGGGAGGAGGAGGAGGAGGAGGAGGAGGAGGAAAAGGAGGATGCACGATGTTGAATTGCACCCTCCCTCCAAGATCCCTCTTCAGTGGCCCCTACAGGGAGGTCATTTCCAGTGAAGGAACTGTTGGGGGACAACCGTGTGAACATCTTGAAGCGCGCCAACACCATTCTCAGGACTACAGCGCCACGAGTAACCCTGCTTGTTACGTTGCGATTATTCTGAATTCTGCCAGCGCGCCATTCCTGGGACGTCGACACCGCGAATCACCGTTAGTGTTGCGCCAAGACAATCCTGGACCGTTTTAGCTATCTGCAAGGACAGGAATGGAGGAGGAGGAGGAGGAGGAGGAGGAGAGGAGGAGGAAAAGGAGGAAAAGGAGGAGGAGGAGGAGGAGGGGGAGGAGGAGGGGATGATGAGGAGGAGGTGGAAGAAGAGGAAGAGGAGGGGTAAGAGGAGGATGAGGATGAGGAGGAGGAGGAGGGGAGAGGAGGTTGAAGAGGAGGAGGAGGAGAAGGAGGAGGAGGAGGAGGAGGAGGAGGAGGAGTTGAAGGAGGAGGAGGAGGAGTGCGCACAGCGCGCGGAACGGGGAGTTTGTTCCTCCGCGCTGACGGGGCTGCCCGCGGGCCTCACCTTTCGGCCGGCCGCCTCACCGCAGCAGCGTGGGCGAGCCTCGGCTGGCGGCGCCAGCCCATTGCAGCCGCTGCGCCGCTGGCCACGACAGCGTCGGCGCCTCCTCGACTGCTGCGCGGGCTCTGGCGGGGCCCGCCCGTGGTCGCACTCCACGATGTCCCCGCCTGCTGCCACGCACACGGCACTTATGACGGCACCGTCTCGCCATTGCCGGCGCCTCCTCTACTGCTGCGCGGGCTCTGGCGGGGCCCGCCCGTGGTCGCACCCCACGATGTCCCCGCTTGCTGCCACGCACACGGCACTTATGACGGCGCCGCCTCGCCAGTGCCGTCCGCCTCCGCGTGCCTCGGCGCGAGCTGCACAGGGATCGCCGACGTGCTCGTGGGTGACGGGGTGCCTGCCCGCGCGCATGCTGTCCCCCGGCATGGTGGAGCACCCGTCGGCCGGCGAGCGCCTCCTCCACGGCCGCAGGCTGCCCTCTGCACACGCTGCCCTCGAGGTCCTCCTCGAGTCCCGCCCGCGTGCCACACCCGTCGCAGCCGTATGGCAGCGATGCCGAGCCGCCCAGCCATTGTCTTTGGTGCCGCAGTGGGCCCGTCACCGCCTCGACACGCTGCTCGTCGTCAGGCATGAAGTGCTGGGGCCCCGTCTCGCGCTGGAGCTTGGCCGCCATCCTCATGCCGAGGCCGCTCGGCGCCTCGAGGGTTTTGCCGTTGAACTGGCTGGCCGCCGCCCTCTCAGCCGCCTGCCTCGATTCGTGAGCCCTCGGCCTCTTGTGCACTCCAAGCCTGCCCTTGCCGCTGTCGACGTAGAGCTGGCGGCGGCGTGGCACTGCCTCGAGCCGAGGGGCCTTGACCAGAGGAGCGTCGTGGCTGTCGGAACCTCCTCCTGCGTCGGCCCGCTGTCGGGGCGCTCAAGAGCCGCCGAGGTCGCGACCCCTCGCCGATACCCTCGCATGAGCTCTGTGGCTGCACTCCCTGGCGGGGCGTGCTGGGCCTCTGGCAGCCGCGGACTTGTCCCGCTGCCTACTACAGGGGGGGTCCTGGCCCTTGCTCGCCTGCAGAACTCTTGAGAGGTCCCCAGCCATGCCTCGCTCAGCGCCTCCGTCTTCGATCGCCTCGTAGCCGTCGTCGACGCCGTCATCGCTGGTCTCGCGGTCCCTCAAGCAAGCGCTCCGGGGCTCGAGGAGGAGAGAGAGGAGGAGAGAGAGGAGGAGGAGGAGGAGGAGGAGGAGGAGGAGGAGGAGGAGGAGGAGGAGCTTGAGGATGGGGTGCGAGGATCGAGGCCTCTTTGCCTGCCTCGCTATTTTCTCTTGGCTTCTGGAGACCTTCGTTTATGGGGTGCCCAGGGTCCCAAAGGGCCCCCTTCTGGGCCCACTCGGCGTCTAGGGCCGTCTTGCCGCCGAATGGTGCAGATCGAGGTCGGTTTGGGGAGGGTACCTAATGTTCGTCCTACCTGTTGTATGTTATTGTGCGTCCTGGGGGAGGGCATCCTCGAGTAATCGTATGGTTTGGGTTGTTTTGGCAGGCGGGCGGCGGGCAGGCGGAGGGTCTCTCGTTCTTGAAGGATGTTCTTCTGTCCCAGGTCCGACCGTACCGCGGTGGGAATCGAGCGCGCTCGACCGCCGAATGGGCTCGATCGCCCAAGTGGTTCATGTGGGACTCCTGGGGTCCTCTCGCACCTTGCCGTGTAATCTCTCCCCTCCCTGCTTTTTTTCCCAAGTTCTCTCCACTCTTCCTCTTCCCTAGCCGCTGGGCCCCTAGATGGCCAAGCGGAGAGCCACCACTCGCCATATTTATGGCCTGGGTGCCACCTGGCGTGTAGCTGTCACAGCTTTCTTGCGCCCCTCGTGTGAGGGGTGTCCAGCAGAGTGGCGAGCCACGCGAGCGCCCACCAGATATCGCCCCTCCTGGGTGTAGCCAGGCATGGGGCAGTCGCCCTTCTACTGTGCCCCCCCCGGGATCCAGCGGGCTCGTGACCAACGGGGGTCTAAGTTACGTCTACGTGCTTCGAATACTCCCTCCACTTTGTTGACTTTTAGCGACGAAGCTGCAGCGTTCAACTCTGGTCATAGAGCACACAGTGTTAAAGTCCGAGTTTGCGATGCTCACGCTGATTAAGCTGACTGAGCGTGCGGAGTTGGAAAGGAAAGACGTAACAGTAGAGCAGAGAAAACGTGCTGGACCCTCCCCCTCCTCCTCCTCCTCCTCCTCCTCCTCCTCCTCCTCCTCCTCCTCCTCCTCCTCCTCCCCCTTCTCCTCCCTCTCCCCCTCCCCGTGGAGTCAAACCTTTTTGTTACCAGGCCCACTTGGGCTGCCGAAGGGGCTCAACGCCTCCGCCCCGTGGCGCTGCTCGTGCCCACCTGGGCGGCCCCGCGGCTCGCCTCTGAGGCTCCCTGCAGCGCTGGCTGCGCCCGTCCTCCCCGCCCTCGACGGCAGAGGCTGGCCTCGTCAGACCCGGACCCCCTCGAGCCATGACAAAAATTACATTACGACGGGATTGTGCACGATGTTCGGCCTCTGGAGGCCCTTCCCGGCGGTCAGGACCGTCAGAAGACGACTCAGGATGAAAAGCCGGTCCAAGGGAATGGTTCGAGACCGCTGAGGGTCGACGTTATGAACAAATCATGACGTCGAGGGTCTCGGGAGGGGGGCAGGGGGAGGGGGGGGGAGCGTTCTCAGAAGCACCCCTGCTTCTCAGCAGGCGCCGGCCCCGACCGTAGATGTAGGGCCGGCGCCGTCCAGCAGGCAGCCCTGCCTTCAAGAAGCCTCCCCCCCTCCCCCGTAGTTTCCCCCTTGCGCGCGCCGCCGAGTCTGGCGTCCACCCGCGGGAGCGGGACGGCGGGTCATCCTGGGTGGCCCCGTGGCCGATTCCCGCAGCTTCGCGGCGCACCGGGAGCTGCTGGAAGAGCTCTTCGGTGCCCCCCCCCCCCTGGCGCGGCAGGCCTCGCGGGAGCGTGGGAGATCCATGGTCATCAGGGGTGTCCGCGGTTCGGTCGGCTCTGCCGCGTTGCAGTCGGCTGCGTCTGGTCGGTTCGGTTCGGTTCGGTTCGGTTGTCGTGCCGTTGCCGCACCGCTGAGGCCTAGGCTGCTCGCGGCATGTCGGTTTCGTTTCCGCTTCATGTTCCGGTGGTCTTAGGTCGTTCAGGACGAAGGGGGGAAGAGTATCAACGACATGCTGACCTTCTTCTTCCTTCGGTTTCGTCCGAAGGCCTGGCTTATCTCTAAGAGCACCACGCTGATGGGTTCCCCACTGCGGCATCTCATCGATGTTGTGTGCTGCCCCCCCCAGGTTGTGCCGTCACCGCAGAGGGCGACGCCGAAGGGCCCCAGGAAGGAACTCTGGGGCACCCGCCGCCCCTCGGTCTGGACTCCCCATGCAGGCCAGCCACAACTGGGGGATCTGTGGTCCTTACCCCCCTGGGGGACCCATCGATTTCGACACCCCTCTCGAGAGATCGTCGATGCGATGGGTTCCTCCAGGGGGGTAAGGACCACAGCTCCCCCAGTTATGGCTGGTCGGCCATGGGACTTTGATTCGACCCGCGCTTTGGTGTCCGCTGGTGTGGCTGGTCCGGCCTGTGACAGGCACTCCGGAGATGGGAGGAGGAGTTGGGGGGGGAAAAGTTGGGGGTGATGACTAGGGGAGGGGATATCATGGCGGGGGCCATGATATTTCCCCAGAGTTCATGGCGCCTCTTCTCATTTCATTACGTCCCTGGCCCCCCCGCTGGGCCGCGCCCATGCCGCCGGTCATGATTTGCACCCACCCCCCCTCGGACACCCCCCTCTTCGCCGCTCCCGCGCTCTGGTGTCCGCTGGTGTGGCCGGTCCGGCCTGTGGCCAGCACTCCAGAGATGGGAGGAGGAAATCACCACCCACCAAACCACCCCAACCCAACCCGAAGGCTCAGATTTACCCTCGATTTCCAGTGGGGGGGGTCGGGGAACATCGAAAAAACACATGTGGAACCCTTCCCCCCCCAACCCGAAATTCGAGTATTCGGGCTGGGTTGGGGTGGTCTGGTAGGTAGTCAGGAAACGGTACGCGTATTTCTACCCGTCCCTCGTTTTTCTCTTTTCGTGCCTCCTGGGACCTCGTCGCCACCTCCGGATTCGCCCCGGAATCCGGGTCAGAACGCACACCAGGAGAGGTCTGGGGAGTACGGTATCGGTACCTTTGGGTTTGTCCAGGAGGAGGGAGGGAAGTGGGAAGGATGAGGCGGCGGCGCATGAGGAGGAGAGGCGATTGGAGGGGGGCGGATAGGACGAGGCGGCGGCGGGCAGGAGGTTTGACTGCGAGTGGGGCGACTTGCTGATAAGTCATATTGATTCTGACTAGCCATCCTGCTCCTGCCTCCGAAGGAGACGCTTTAGAAGCTTCAGAAGCTTCGGGTTCAGTATAAGAAGCGCCGTGATTGCTACCCCCTTCGCTCCACCCTGCAAAGGGGAAGGGAGGAGGGAGACGAAAGTGGGAGGGAAGGGGGACAGGGATGGAGGGGAGGAGGGGTGATCGAGGAAAGGCACGGGAGGGGCAAACAGGTGTGGGGAGAAATGAGAGGAGGGGACATGAGATGGAGAAAGAGACCCCCCCTTCCCCCTTCAACTCCTTCTGCAGTCACCCTTCCTCACTTCCCATTGCCTCCATCCTCCTCAACTTATTTGTCAACGTTGCGCGGTCTCTAGGTACGAGCCTGTAGCGTTCTGAGAGGACAAATCGATACGTTGCAGTGCCGTTTTGGGCGAATTGTGCAACACATTATACAGGCAAGCCTAAGGGTGAAAAGGGAATGGGCCTGAAAGACAGAACAGAGAAGTAAGCCCACGGCTCTGAGTATACGCTCGCCACGCAGCACCTGCGAGAGAAGACATCGGCATCCCTCCTCCTCCATCCTGCTCCTCCTCCTCTTCCATCCTCCATCCTCCATCCTGCTCCTCCTTCCCCTCCCCCATCCTCCCCCTCCATCCTCCATCCTCCTCCTCCTCCTCCTCCTCCTCCTCCTCCTCCTCCTCCTCCTCCTCCTCCTCCCCCATCCTGCTCCTCCTCCATCCTGCTCCTCCTCCTCCTCCAGCCTCCGCATCCTCGACACAGCCCTGGCGCAGACGGAGAGTCTGCGCCGCGGTGGGCGCTCGAGGCTCCGCGGCCCCGGCGAAGCTGGTAACCGGTATTGAGGGAATGCGGTTCCCCGCGTTCCCACACCCGACGGGTCGGGGTTGTCAGACTTGAGAAAGAATCAGGAGCGAGAGAATCGGGGGAACAAACCTACCTCGCTTTTGACCACCCTCGCTTCCAAGAGATACCAAACGATGGCACATTGCGGCCCGTACTGGTCAGGCCGCTTGACGAGGAGGCGCGTGGTATGGCTTGTTTTTGCCTGGAAGCGAAAGCGGGGTAGGTAATTCACGCTCTGAAAGGACGTACGCGTGCATGAGCCCGCGCTGGTTTCGAAAGTGCGCACTGCACAAGTGTTCGTGTCACGAGGCTGGTCTCGCGGCCTGTGCGGCCGTAGGAGTGCACGTAGCCCAGACGAGGCTGGTCTTGAGGGAATATGGTCCCCCGTGCTTCCCCGCCCGACAGGCTGTTCGAGGAGGAACGGGTACTGATACCATTGACCTTCGCCTGTCTTCCCATTTCTCGGCCTCCTGGGAGGCCCTCGTCGCCACCGCTGGATTCGCCTCGCAATCCTAGTCAGAACGCACCCCAGCAGAGGTCCGGGGAGTAGCGGTGCTGGTACCTCTCAGTTTCCCCAGGCTGGGTCGTTAGATCTGGAACAACGGCCCCCGACCCGCCTCGCACACCCTGCACACCGCGGCCGCCGGGCCCAACTTGTGCCAGTGCTTCCTGTGTGCCCGGCCTCGTGCCTTCGACGGATGGCGAGCGGGACGAACATATGGTCCCAGGGAGCGCACCGGTGTCGCTGGGGCGTTCCAGAAAGTCGGCGGTGAGCGAGGGGGGGAAACGAGAATGAGAAGGCCTTCTCGGAAGGCGGCGGGGCTTCTCAGAGGGCCTCCGGCCTTCTGAGAGGTTTTTTGCGTCTTCGGGGAAGGCTCAGAACGCTTCTCAGAAGGCTGGAGGACCTCCGAACCCTCTGAGGAGGCCTTCTCCTTCTCCCTGCCCCCCCTCGCTCGCCGCCGAGTCGAGAGGCCGACGTCTCTGCCTCGGCGGGCGCCGAAGGCCGGCGGCAGCCAGCGGAAGCAAATTTTGCGGCAGGTCCGCCAGCGGAAGGCGGCGGAGGCAAGAGTGGCCCGTGTCCAGGAGGTGCCAATGTTTGGTGGTTCGGCCTGCCCCCCCCCCCCCTCCCCCTCCTCCCCAGCCCCTCCACGTCTGAGCGCCATCCCCCTCCTGCCTCCGCGCGGCCGCCCTCGTCTTCGCCTCTCTCTGTCTCTCTTTCTCTCTCCTCTCTCTCTCTCTCTTTCGCACGCTGGACAATTGTCCTATCGGGTCTCCCGATTAGCCCCACGCTGGTGCAGACCGTCTCTGCCTCGCCGCCGACGAAAAGTTAGTTGGGGGGCGTCAGGGGTTCAGGAATCGGCCATGCAGCGTGGAAGTCCCATGGTGTACCAATTGGCCCACGCCTGGTCGGGGAGCATTCCCCATCCGCCGGCAGTCAGACCTGTGCATTGCCCGCCGCAGCGGCGTCAGCCGCGCCCATCGGGTGCCTGTGCGTTTCCGTGGGGCGACCGTACCGTGTGGTACGCGGGTCCCATGGGCCTCGTTCCTACTCCTTGGCGGGGTCCTTTGGGTCAGAGCAGAGCTTACACGGCGCCAGCTTCAGATTCCATTTGAAGGATGCCCGTTGGTGTATCCCTCGTTGGTCCAACAGAGCGGCGGGTGAGCAACGAGTGTCGAGCTTCCAGAACAGGTGAGCCATTGTTGCAAGAGAGAACACTGTCGGGACCCCCGAGGCAGCGAGTCACTCGCGACGGGGTCAGATTTTGTGCCCGACGCGATTGCAGGGGTGGAGGTGTATACGTGTGTACGTGCATGTATCACCCCGCCCCGAAGAGATCGCTCGGTCGTTCCAAGAACTCGATCATTCCCTCTTCCCTTCCTCCTCCACCTTTCCCTCTTCCGCCTCCTTCTCCTCGTCCTCCTCGTGCTCCTCCTCGTCCTCCTCCTCCCTCCTACTCCCACATCTGTCCTCATGCCTACCTTGTCCTCCGCCTGCTTTCATCCTTCCGCCCCATCCTCCTCCGCCTCCTCCGTCGCCTACTCCTCCTCGTCCTCCTGCCACCTCCTCCCCCTATGCCTCCTCCTCCTTCCTTCCCCCTTCTGGCTTGGCTCGCCGAATGATTTCACGAGAGCCCGCGTCTGGGTGAAAGAACTAATCGCTTTGCTCATGCCGCCGGTCTATCTTCTATATTGCACCATCGTTGCTATATTTTGGTGTGCCCATGGCGGGCGAGAAGGAGGAGAGGGGACTCAATATGGGGAGGAGGAAGAAGAGGAGGAGAAGGAGGAGGGGACCTCTAGACGGCTTCTTGGGGGTACTGTTGGACCAATCTGAGTCGCGGACAAGACGCCTCTTTGGAAGGCTCTTGGGGTCTCTTGGGAGGTCTCTCGGGGGCTTCTTGGGCTCATGTTTGGGACCCCGTGGGGCATCCATTTGGGCTTCCAGGCGCGTCTTGAGGGCTTTCTGGGGGCCTGCTGGCGGTCTCGGGGGCCAAATTTCGGGGAAGGCTTGATATGTCCGTTCGGGTTCTCCCTCTGGAGCCCTTTAGGGAGCCTCTGGAGTCCTTTGGGGAGGCCTCTTGGGCCCCTCTTGGGCCGTCTTGGGGCCGTCCTGGGAGCCTCTTGGGCGGACTTGGGGCGATCTTGGAGGCTTCGTGGGCCGTCCTGGGCGGTCGGAAGCTTGAAAAGGCCATAACGCCAAGATCTTTCGAAAACCAAAGCAACACACAATGAAGTTTGCCTCTTCGGGCCTATTGGGGTCCTCTTGCTTGGAGCCCTCCTGGAGCGTCTTGGGCGCCTCTTGGGCTGTCTTGATACCAACTTGGTCCATCTTGGAACGCTCTTTGCCTGAGACCGTGGGGACCGCCACCTGTTTTGCGCCACGTACTGGGGCGCTCCGCGGGCCTCCATGGCCGCGCCCAGGAGTTTGCCATCCGTGACCCATCCCTTCAAGGTCGTTCCGTTCCGTGTCCAGGAACTTGCAGGGTTTTTCGTCTGGGACCCCAGGTTCTGCCGCACGCGCGCCAAATCCGAAGCATTCTGAAGCTCTTCCCTCTAGCCCGTTTAGCCAGCGATTGTATTTTGTGGGTGCGTGATCGTTGCGACGATTCCGCAGTGTTGTGCATGCCTGGAGCGATGTCTACAGAGAAGGAGGAGGAGGTGCAGGAGGAGGAGGAGGACATGAAGAGGCGGATGACGGATCACGGCGGGAGGTTCAGGAGGATTGAGGGAAGAGGGGACAGGAGGAGGAGGGGGAGGGACGAAATGAGGAGCATGCGTGAGCAGGGGGCGGGGAGTTGAGGGAGGAGGGGGGAGTTCGGGCGGGGCTGGCACGAGGATAAGTCCATGTCAGATGTTTCTGGAGCGCTCCCAGATCGTTCCGGAACTCCCTGAGAAGGGCGCGGCTCCCGAGACCTTTTCTGGAGCCGCCGGATCTCAGGGATGATCGATGTACCTTCACCCGATTGTGTCCTCGTCCTGGCTTCGTCTTAGAAGAGGGGCGGGATTGGATGGGTATCGGATGGGGATTCGGATGGGTATCGGACGGGAGATGCCGGGGGCCTGGATGGGGATTCGGATGGGGATCGAGGAGGAGGAGGAGGAGGAGCAGGAGGAGGAGGAGGAAGGGATGAGGAGGACTGGTTGCAGAACCGGGTCGAGGGCTGAGGCGGGAAGGAGGGGAGTGGGGAGCGAGCGCCGACCCTGAGCGGTGGCGAGCAGTTCTCGAGGCGAGGGTGAGGGGCTTGGCATCGCCTGGACGTGCATTTTTCCTTCGGCGAGGACCATCGAGGAGCATCCTTGATCATTTGGCGAAAAAACCACGCACGGAACCGAAAAAAACACAGGAAACGGACGTCCGAGCGATGGCGAGGGGGTGATGGGGAAGCGGAACGAGTAGAGAGAGTCAGTGTTGTTGTTGTGGTGTTGGTGGTGGTGGTGTTGTTGGTGGTGTTGTGGTTGGTGGTGTTGTTGTTGTTGATGCTGTGGCTGTTGTCTCCTTGTTGGTGTTGTTGATGTTATTGTTGTTGTTTATGATATTGTTGTTGTGGTTGTGGTTGTGCCTATTGTTGTTGCTGTTGCTGTTGCTGTTGCTTTTGTTGCTTCTGTTCGTCTTTTGCTCGTCGCGTTGCCCCTCGCCGTAGCCATTTCGGCTCAATAAGGTCCACGGGAGGAACACACGACTCGTCGCAAGCGCCGCGCGGCTCGTTTGCGACAGCGATGGCCACGGACGCGCGGCGCCTGGCGGCGGCCGTGGTGCTCACTTCGTTGCAGCTGGCCATGGCCGAGTCCAACGATGTTAACGACTTCTTTGCGGATGCCCAGGACCCCAGGCGCCGAATTGGGCTGGACCGAATGGCCCGAGGAAGGGCTGCACAGCATCGGCGGAGCATCGGCGATGTGGCGCACTCTGGAGTGCGACCGTTGTTCATCCCGACGTCGCTGGTGCATCGGCGATGCTGTGCGACCCTCCGACGCCGTCTACTCCTTCCCATTGCGGGCAGCTCGCCAGGACCCGGATAAGTGGACCTGGAAGCACTTTGTTGTCGCTGGTGCGCTCGCGGCCTTCGTCGTCTGCTGCCTGCCGACCCTCATCTGCATGTGCCTTGGCAAGCTGCTCTGCGAGGCTATTGAACTGATCGTGTGTTGCCCGTGCAACACAATAAAATGCCTCTGCTGCGGCGGCAGTAAGTCCCGTGGGTTGGAGCTGGAGTCTTCCGACGAGGACAGCGAGGACGAGGATATCCAGGAAGAGCAGCTGGTGAATCGAGGCCTGAAGAATCTTGGCCCAAGTATCCAGCAGCCTTCGGCAAACCGCATCGGCGCGGCATGGAGAAGGTTGAGCTGAAGGCCCGCTCCAAACTGACGCGTTTCGGCTGAAGCACCCCCTCTTTGCCTGCAGCCTCGTTATCTCATTCCCTCTCACTTCTCCACCTCCTTCTTCCCCCGCTCTCGAAAGAGCATGTGGGGCTCCTTGGTATCTTGACCGGGGGCCTCGTGGGTCGAAGTTGGGGCCCCTCGATGACCTCTCGAGGCCCTCCGGGCGGCACCTTGGGGCTCTTCTGTGGGCCGCTCGCCTGCGGGGGGTCCGATCGGGCTTCCCTGGTCGCGGTGGCCAGGTTGAGCACAGGTTGAACACAGGGGGCCAGGTGGAGCGGAGGCGGCCCGGTTGAGCACTTTTTTGATCTGCAGGGCGAGAGCGAGCCTCTTCCGCTAAAAGCTCCGCGGGCCGCGCACAGCTTCAATTGACAGGGAGGGGGCGGGAGCGGGCGGGGCCTCACGCGGCCAGAAGCGGGCGAAGCCCGGGGATCAGGCGGTGCCGAACGGGAAGTGCAGGAAAAGGTACACCAACCAGGTTGAGCACAGGGGTCGGCCCAAACGGTGTGATGGCGATTTCGTGGGCCGTTGTCGTTTCGACGTTTTTGTTGCAGCAACACGCAAAACGAAAGGAGAGCGAAAACGGCACGAAAGCAAGACACATTGTTTGGGTCGATCCCTGGCGGAGCAATCCTGAGAATTCTAGGCGGGACGTGCTGCCAGCTTAGAGCCTTCTCAGGGCGGTTTCGGGCCGCTTCGGGGGGGTATTCGGGCCGTCGCTGGGCTGTCTTCGGGCCATCCGGTTCGCTTTTGGGGCCGTCTTAGGGGGCTCCATGGCCAAGCTTTCCCGAGGCGATCTGAAGCTCAAAAGCTTCGAGAGCTAGCAGCAGCGAGATCTCTCAGGTTGGTTTCACTGCGCTGGGCCTCGTCGGGCCTCGCTGGAGGCATCTGCGGGCGTTCCTCGGGAATTCCTCTGGGCGTCTCGGGGCGATCTTGGAGCCTCCAGGGGGCCTGCTGGGCAGCCTTGGGCAGAGCTGGGGCCACGTGCAGCCGTCCAGAGCGCGAAACGGGCGACCTTCCTCGGATCCTCATCCTCCTCGTCCTCATCCTCATCCTCGTCCTCCTCTCCTCCTTGTCCTCCTCCTCATCCTCCTCCTCCTCCTCCTCCTCCACCTCATCCTCATCCCTCCTCCTTCTCCCTTTCCCTTCTCCTCCTCCTCCTCCTCCTCCTCCTCCTCCTCGGCTGACCCGGGGTAGGTCGCACGCCCTCGGAAGGCTACAGAAACCCCGCCAGGCAACTGAAGGGACGCCGAGAAAGGTGGCTGGTCGGGCTCGTCCATGATTCCCAGCCCTGGCCAGCGTCCCTTGAGTTCGCTACTCAAGCCCTGGCGATCTCGGCCCAACTGCTTTGGTCAAGCCCTGGCCACTCCCGCTGACACGGAGCTTCCGACTCCCACTCTTCCCATACAGTGGAGCTTGGTCCACAAGAAACTTTCCACAAGAAACTCGACGCTGAGAGCCCAGGACGTCCATTGATCCTCGGTGTGGGAACGTCACGCCTTCCACAGCAACGCCATCGAAACCCAGGAAACCCGGGGCACCCTGGGAGGCAAGCAGGGTGCCTCTCGGCATGGGCCTCCACTGACGCGTCCTGCGCAACAGACCTTCCAGCACCCCGCTGCCGTGCAGCAGCACGGTGGGCGGACCGCCCAGGGCCCGCCTCCCGGCTCGGGCGGGGGCGCTCCCGGGCAGCAGGGGGCCTTGGCGCCGCACCACCAGCCGCCGAGTCAGGCGCGGGCCCCAGAGCAGAGCCCCGGGGGCGGCGGGGAGGAGCAGAAGACTCAGGGGAGAGCTCGAGGAGGACGGGGGACGAGCGGAAGAGAGCGGAAAGACCAAGGAGCGGAGAGGAGGCGAGAGGGAGGGGGGGGGGGACGGGCGGAGGGAGGAGCCGCAGGCGCGGCGCGGCGCCTCTGCCGGGTGCTCCCACATGGGCTCGCCTGCCACAGCGAGACCGCTGGGCACTCTCGCTTCGCACCGGCCCGCCGCGCTGCGGGCCCGCAGCCCAGGGGAGACGGGGGGCGTGTGAATATCATGGCGGGGGCCATGATGCCTCCCCAGAGTTCCTGGCGCCGCTTCTGATTTCAATGCGTCCCTGATCTCCCCCTGGGCCGCGCACGTGCCGCCGGCCATGATTTGCGCCCCCGCCCCCTCTCGGACGCCCCCCTCTTGGCCAAGCCCGAGTGACCTTTCCTTTCGGTTTTTCTGGCGTTTCCGTTGGTTGGTAGACGTCTTCCTGCCCCGGGATGCGCTCCAGCGGCTGCGATTCACCAGCAGCATGCCGGAGAGGCCAGGCTCGTCCCGAACGGCCGCTGGCGACCCCGAGTCATGACCCAGACGTTGGACCGCTCAAACACAGCCGAAGCAGGTTGGGGCGGAGGGCCGCAGTGCACCGATCGATTGCGCGGCTTGCGCGGAGCGGTCCGCAGCCCGATCGGTGCATCGTCGGCGCGGGGCGATCTTCCAACCACTTCGGGTTTAAGATAACCACGACGGGATGTTTTCGTCAGCTTTCGACCACTTACCAGGCCCCCCTTGACCGGGATCAACAAAACGGCCTAGGATAAAGTTTCGCTGGTGCTGGGGAAGGGATTCAGGCCCCTGGGGGTCCACTCCTGTGGAGAAGTCGCGACGTCGGGGGCCTGGGCCGCGGCCAAGCTACCGCAGATTCGCGTCGTTTCGACGCGGCGGCAACACAGCCGCGGGCGCTCAAGGTGGAACGCCGCCAGTGGCTCAGAATCGGCTGCTATTCCACGACCTGGCGAGCGACGGGCCGCCGATCGTTCGCTCTTGCACGACCGCGGTGGCAGACAAATCAGCGCGGGGGTCGTCACGACGCGAACCTGCCGCTCGGGCGGCCTCCACAGGCGCAGCAGCTGCAGATGATGCACCACCACCACCAGCTGATGTACCAGCATCGGGGGGGGGAGAAGCGGCACACCGTCACCACCAGCAGGGCAGTGCCCGGCGAGGACGGCCGTTCCTCCCAAGAGGGGGAGGCCGGAGGTGCCTCGAGCGGGGCGCGGAGAAGCGGCAACACCGCACCACCTTTCCGAGGCGGGGCTTGACCCAGAGCCTTTGCCTGGGGGATCGATCTTCGAGGACCTCGGCAGGCAGTGGACGTTGGACATACTCGGGCCCTGGGGGGCCAACCGTATCCACGACAACCGCCTCGCAGCAGTGACCCCACACTGCTCCCTGCGATGGCGGTGCTGTGCGTCGGCTCTCCTCGCTCATGCAGCAGCACTACGCGCACCAGCAGGCCGCGGCGGTCCAGCACATGCGCGCTGCGCAGGCGCCCGCGTACCACTACGGCTACCCTGGACAGCAGCAGGTGATGTACGCGAGGTGACTCGGCAGGGGGGCCGCGCCCGCCGCGCGGGTCGCCGGCAGACCTCCGACGTCGTGGTTTGTTCAATCTCTTGTCTTTCCCAACCCGCGCAGCGGGATTGACAGACGTCACGGGAGATATTCCCAGCCTGTTTTGCCCGTGTTGCGCACGCACTGCGGCCGCCGGGCCCCGATAGAGTCGGGCCGCTGAAGAAGGAACCTTTTTTGATCCGTTGGGGAGGGGCGCAGCGTTCCTTACTTGTTGCACAGTTTGTTCGAGGTTTCCCTGAGGTTTTCCAAGGGAAATGGAAGTTGAACTTATGGACAACATGAGCCGCGTCCCTCATTTAGGGTTCCTTTTGACAGCGCTTCGACTGTAGTCTGGGTGGTTCCTGGGGGTGTCCCGCGTCGCCCGCCCGGTGTACGTCGCGGCCGTCAGGCTCCAAGAGTTTCGGTGGTCTCTGGGTGCATATGTCGCCTCGTCTGCCGTGCACACCGCGGCCACCGGGCCCCGGATGCTACCGATACGACGAGCACGGATGCATACGTAACAGGCGCATCGAAGAAGAACAGACGCGATAAACATAAAAATGTTGGCGTTCCGCGCGGATTTCTTGGATTCGCCTCTGGGACGCCCGGCGGCGCCTCTGGCACCGCCCCTGGCGCGCTCCGCTCGCCAGGGAGGAGCGTCCCCGAGGCAGATCCAAGAAATCCGCGCGGAGCGCCAAGAATTCATGTTTATGCGTTTCTAGAGTGATCAGCAGACAAGCCCACCAGGCAGTCGTCCCGCCGTCCAGGCGGCACGGCGTCACGCCGTCCATACACATCTCGACGGCGTCAAGCTGTCCATACACGTCTCGGCTAGCACCAAGAACACGCATCAAGAGATGTGTTCGAGAACCTATGCCTAGGGCACGCACCAGTGGTACGCATCCAGTGAACACCCAGGGAACAGCCATCAGGACACGCCATTTCTTACATGCATCATTCCGTACACCAATAACCGGAAACGTCAGCACATATTAATAACATGCACCAGCAGCACTCACCAAGCAAATGCACCAATAACGTTGATCAATAACACACATCAGGGGCATACACCAGCGAATGACACCAACAGCAGTCAGCAGCAACATACACGAGTCACACATCATCAACAAGCGCACACAACGTACATTCATACTATTTGCTGTGACCATGCTCAAGGCAGGACGCCAAAGCAACAGCACATAGCGGACACAAGCAGCTGTCATACAACAGTCACACACCAACCGTGCGCATACATGGAATCCATCAGCAAGAGACATTCGACACCACACGCCAATACCATACACCGGTATCATACTCCAGCAAATTGCGTCAATACTGTACACTGGACACGGCCACTACTAGCACGCATGAGTAATTCCCCGTACGCCAGTAAGCACTAAAATGCATCCTGGGTATCAGCACTACGCGCCGAGCGTATCACTTCGCTCAGACACCAGGAGCTGTGATCAAGAGCGAACCGTAGTGTTAGGCACTCTTACCATAAACCACGAACATGCATCGAACCATTACTTACATCCAGGACGTCTACACTGCGGACATACACCTGGATTATGAGGACACGCGCTGATGTAGATCGTTCGAAGAAGATTGCTGGTGCTGTTTTTCACAACCTCCGCCTCTGGAGTCACACGTTGGGCCCAGAGATCTTCTGATCCAAATAGGATGATCCGGCTGCCTGCGGCAAACCCCGCCACCGTGCCTGAGCAACAGTGTTGCACGAAGGAGTCCAAGTGTTGGAACAGCGCAATTCCGACAAGTGGTTTGATAAGGACGGGTCGTGAACTCGACCTCGTTTTCGTCCACGCGGTAGAACCAAGATCCAGTTCACGCCCCAGCGGCAGCTCAGCCAGTCGTTTGACTTGGGGACGGTCGTGCTTCCGACATCGTGTTCGTCCGCGCGGTAGGAAGGATAAGGAGGAGAAGAGGAGGGGGAGAGGGAGGGGGAGGGGGAGGCGGAGGAGGAGGAGGAGGAGGAGGAGGGGGAGGAGGAGGAGGAGGAGGAGGAGGAGGAGGAGGAGGAGGAGGAGGAGGGGGAGGGGGAGGAGGAAGAGGAGGAGGAGGAGGAGGAGGAGGAGGAGGAGGAGGAGGAGGACAGGGAGAACATGAGGACGATGAGGAGAAAGCTTCTTGGGGCTCCCTTGGGGCCTTTGGGGGCTTCCTGGGAGCCTCTTGGGAGGACCTTGGGCTCCTCGGGATCCTCCTGGGGCTTCTTGATGGGCTTCTTGTGGCCTTTTGGGCCGTCTTAGGGAGGCGACTGGCCGGTCTGATGCCTTCGGATGCTGTCTTGGGTGCCTCTCTGGGCCGTCCCGGTGCCCTCTTGGAGCGCTCGAGGGCCGTCTTGGGGCCCTCTTGGGAGCCTCCTTGGCGATCTTGTGGTCCTCTCGGGCCGACTCGGGGCTTTCTTCGGGGCCTCATGGGCTGTCGTGTGGCCATCTTGGAAGCCCCCTTGGGCCGGCATGGGCGGTCGGAAGCCCACATGGGCAAGAACCTCCCAAGCCTTCGCGCATCTAGATGACTAAGGAACCTCCGCGGTGCTGGCCTCCTCGGGCTCTCCTGGAGGGCCTCTCAGAGGTCTCTTGGGCCGTCTTCTGGGCCTCTCGGGCCGTCTTGAGGCCATCTCCAAAGCCTCCAGGTCCGTCTTGGCTGTCCGAGAAGATGTCGTGGGGACCATCTTGGCCGCTTGAAGGCCGACAAGAGCGATGGACTGCCATTTCAGAACCGTTGGGGGGTCTGAGCATGCGCGTGCCGCGGGCGGAGGGGCGGACCTAGAAAGTAATCAACCTCCCAGGCAGCAGACGAGCATTCTAACACGTCCACTCCGTGCAGGCACGGTGGCGGATTTAGGCACTCAAAAGACGGTCTGGAATGAGAAGCCAGCCCTGGATAATGGGGATAATCCAGGCCTCACAATTGGGGTCCGAGGAGATGGTGTCGACAGATCACGCCACATCGCCGATGAATCAGAGATTCAGCGCGATTTGGAGCCCGTCCTGTCCAGCCCACTGTCACCCGCCGATGCATCCGCACTGCGGTGCGATCTGGAGCCCGTCCTTTCCAGCCCGACGTCGCCGATGCATCGCCGATGCCTCGGCGATGCGTCGCGATCCTTCGACCCCATCTGCTCTGGCCCCATCTGTGAGGCCTCCAGCTCCAGCGAATGGGTCGAGAGTTTCTAGGGACCCCGCGCCGAGAACAGCACTGCGTCGGGGGTCTGAGGCCGGCTTGAGCGCGTGCTCTGCCCGTGGTTCGCGCATGGTCACCCCGAATCTTCTACGTATCCCGTCTCCGAGCGCAGGTGGAACGCCGAGGCCAATGGCATGCCACGGCGTCCGCCCCTGTTGTCGAGTATTGTCTTTGACGCGCTCCCAACTCCTCTCAAGACATCCTGCGGATTGCGTTTTCGGCCCCACGGGGGCACTTTTTAGGATCTGGGACAAGCATGTCCAGAATAAACAATTACACCCAGGGAAGGGGGCTGCGACCTCTGAGACCGCGGATCGAAAGAACATCTTCGGATTTATGAGTCCCTTTCTTCCCCCCCATCCATTCCTTGTCAGTATGATGAGACTCGTTCTCGACTCCAGTGGGGCGGTCTGGGCGTTTCGCCCGATATCTTTCATGGCTCCCAGGGATGGAGGGCACGCATAGTTCAGAATGTGACTCCCGCCTTCGCGCCGCACAAGTTCGTCTTGGACGGGACTTGGCGCGGGAGGTTGTATTACAGCATCGTTGATGCCTAATGGGTTCGATATTGGTCCCTTCTTCCTCATAGTATTTTCTTCCTCTCCTCCCAATATTGAAGACGCCTACGGCGAATCACCGCCGCTTCCTGCCTTTTGGACTCGCACATCTGGCCGAGCGTTGAGGTAAGAGCTCTGCCGAGCTATCGGACCATGTGTTCCCCCAGCCGTTGTGGAAACCCTTCGGGGAACATTTGGGGGAGAATGGCGGGGAATATCAGGAGGAGGAGGAGGAGGATGAGGAGGAGGACGACTTGAAGAAGGGGGCATCTTTGGAGCCTCTGGGGGCACTTTTGGGGCCTCCTGGGAGCTTCCTGGCAGCCTCTTGGAGGCATCTTGGGGGCCTCCTTGGGGGCTTCTCGGGAGCCTCTCTGGCCGCCTTAGGGCATCCCTGGCCCGTCTAACGCCATGGGAAGCCGTCTTGCGGGCCTCTCTGGGCCGACTTGGCGCCCTCTTGGGGTGCTCCAGGGCCGTCTTGGAGGCCATCTTCGGCGTCTTGGAGGAGTATTGGGCCCTCTTGGGGCCCTCTTGGGGCCGTCTTGGTGGCCTCTTGGGCTGTTCTGGGGGCATCTTGGAGGCCTCTCGGGCGACTCTGAGGCGATCGTTGGAAGCTCTTGGGCCGTCTCGGGCCGTCGGAAGGCCCAAATCCTCCAAGGACCCAAGGACAATCAATGAGTTTGTTCTCTTTGGGCCTTCCTGGAGGCCCTCCTGGAGGCCTCTTGGGTTGTCTTGGAGGCTTGTTGGGGGCCTCTTGGGCCATCTTGGAGGCATCTTGGGCCGTCTTTGTGGGCTCCTGGCCCGTCTGACGCCGTCGGAAGCCGTCTGAGGGGCCTCTCTGGGCCGTCTTGGGGGCCATTTGGGGTGCTCCGGGGCCGTCTTGGAGGCCATCTTCGGCGTCTTGGAGGCCTCTTGGGCAGTCTTGGGGGCCTCTTGGTCCGCTACGGGACAATCTTGGAGGCCTCTTGGGCGGTCTTGGGGCCGCTTGGGCCGTCTTTGCCAGTCGGAAGCCCAAAACGAAGCAAAGATGCAACTTCTTGAGAAACCTAAAGGCAGTCAATCGTGTTGGCCTCTTCGGGCCTTCTGACGGACCTCTTGGAGGTCTCCTGGGCCGTCTAGACGGCCTCTTTGAGGCCTCTTGCAGGCCTTTTCGGCCGTCTTGGGTGCATATTGGGGCAATCTTGCGGTCTTTTGGGGCCATCTTGGCCGTCTTGGAGGGCGTCGTGACCCGTCT